GGGGGGGGGGGGGGGGGGTTGTTATCTGGTAAAGTTGATATCACGTGACCAACAAGTCACGGGTTCGAACCGTAGAAACAGCCTATTGCAAAAATGTCGGGTAAGGCTACGTACAATAGACCATTATATACCGGCCGTTCCCCGAACCCTGTGCTTAGCGTGAGCTTAGTGCATGAGGTTGCCCTTTTAGTGTACTTAACATATTATTTTTGATAAATGAGAAATCTACAAAGGTCAATGGTGCATGGTTCGAAACTGGATGACTATAGTCATCTCCTCTATCCTTCTCTACTTACTCTTCTCACCACTAAACAAAGTCTTTGGGCGATACGGCTATAGCAGGTAAAATGTCTTATTTTCTACCAGACTCAATTAGTATGGACGATTACCTATAATTGTCATTAAGGCGACATGATAGTGTAAAAAGTCTTTAGCTCTATATTAAAGTTTTTCCAATTCTTTCCACATTAATTAATACACTGGTAAAAGATAGTACCACCTTAAGTCATAGTGGTGTACAATGAACAATCAAAGCATGAAATGAATATCAGAACATATTGCAGAATACAACAAAGACAAAACACCAAAAAACAAGAACAAAATGACGGCCTATCTGATCAAATCAATTGAAAGAATAATGAAAGCAAAGAAGAAAAATACTCCCTACTACCACAACAATGCTGCTGCAGAAGCAGCACCAGTACTAACATTATACAGAGCAGCATCAGAAAAAATTGTTACAGTAAGGACACAATACTAACACAAAAAGTACAGAAAACTGTAACATTTGTGTATTACATCACTCAATCAATCATCCTAAAAGCTTATTGATTTGAAAGCAAGAAAATACCCCTTCTGCTGAAAATTATCTGAATCCCATTAATTGCATGCAACTTTCTTTTCATACTCTACAGTCTTATTATTATACTGTAACATATACTTTATTACCTTATTTACTAGTTAAAAAAATTAAAAAACAAATAGTAAAAATATTTGTACCTTGACGCCCTTTTCTAGCTTGGCCTTCTCTTCTACAGCTGTTATCCCAAAGATGCGCTTCATATCTTCCTGTCCATCTATGTCTGCACAAAAAAAAAACATCAAGAAAATTAAACCTCACTTTTTTTCATCTAATCTACTAAAATTTCAAACACCCTTTTGCTAAAAACTGATTTGTACTGAAAAAAAATAATATTTTTACCTAGTTACACCTTTGTATAAAAATTCAAGAAAATTAAACCCCACTTAATTTTTTCCTCTAATCTACTAAAATCTCACACACCCTTTTGCTAAAAAAATGATTTGTACTGAAAAAAAATGATATTCTTTTTGCTGAAAACTGATTTAACTCAAACATTAGTAATTTTTACCTTGTTACACCTCTGTAGATCATTTCAAGAAAATGAAACCCCACTTATTTTTTCAAACACCCATACGCAAAAAACTGATTTAGCTTTAAAAAAATTTAATTTTTACCTTGTTACACCTCTGTAAATGGAAGTTCTTTGGCCAAAAGTATCAGTAATTTTCTTACAACTCTCTGAACCAACAACAGCAACAATGGCTTTTTCTTTTTCCAAGCACTGAGTATTATTAGTAGTATTAACAGCCAAAGACAAAGCACCAGTAGAAAGAGCTGGAGGACACTGAGAATAAGCCAACTCGTTGCATGACTCACTAACAAACTCAGTACCAACTGAGTTATCAACTTCAGAACCCGAGTTATTCGAAAAAGCAGCAGCAGCAGTAGCTTGATATTGAAACCCATGAGCTAAATTTTTGAAATCTTGATGATAAACAGCTGAGCCATTATTTTGTTGTTGTTGTTCATAGATTTGATGAGTCAATGATGATGAATCTTGAGTCAAAGATGATGAATCACCACCTAAGAAATCTTCAAGTTTTGGCGGTGTTTGTTGATGGATTTGTGTGTCCAAAAAGTTTTGAAAAATTGATGAGTCATTTCCATTGATATTCAGCCCTAAAACTTCTTTTTCACCTTCTGTATACATCACTTGAGATTTTGGATTAGACCAACCTGCAAAAAATGGTGACAAACAAAAAAAAATATTAGTAAAACTTAGTGGCCAAGTTAAAAGTTTGTTTTGTTGCTAAAGAAAATCCAAAACTTTGTACCTATAGAGATATATCATTGCTGAGCTAGAAATAAGTTTTTGAAAAAATAAAAATCTTTCTGTTAAATGAATGAAAAATGTTTTAGCAGTAACTGAAACAGCTAGCACATAACACACACGGTTGCATTTTATTTGTCTTTATCTTTTAACTTTTATTTTGCTCAACAACCAAATGGATGTTTAGTGGAGAACTTCATTCAAAATCTACACTGGCTTTTCACATTTATTGTACAAGGTTTTTCTTATTTTTTGCTTCAAGTATTATTTGTTTCGGAATTTACTCGCTCGACTAATCTGGAATCATCGATTTAGCTCATCATATCATGGTATTGAGCTTGATTTTGTTTCGATTAATAACAACCCGGTATAATCTCATTTTGCAAGGGTAGTCTGTACGTAGACTTTGACCCAAAGCCAAACTCAAACTCGAAGTAGAGAGGCTCTTTGAGAGAGGTTGTTTCCAATAGACCCTCGGCTTTACTATCTTGAACAACAAGAACCCAGTACAATCTCATTTGGAGAGGCGATTAGGAGACTGTTTTCGATAGAGCCTCAGCTTATCTTGGAAAAAATATTAAAAAAGAAGTGATAAAAATGAAAACTTACCATGAGGAAAGAAGTTATCAGCAAAATAGTAATGATGAGAGTCAGCAGAAGAGGAGCCATCAAAAGTTGGTGCAAGTTTCATGTTGGATTGAAGCATAGAATTAGACTGAGAAGCTGAAGAGCTCAACATTTCCATAGAAGATAAAGAAAATGATAACCAGTTGTTGTTGTTGTCTGGAGCCATTGAATGAAAAAACAAAAACCTTAAAAACCAAGAAAAGTTAAAAAGAACCAAAAACCCAAAACCGACTTAATAAGACTATTTGGTTATTACCTCAAACTTATCATTAACCATTAGATGAAGATAAAGAAGAACTCATTATAGATCAAGTTACAAGGAAAAAAAAAGTCTTTTGGTTTATCTCTATATATGTAAATAGGATCTTCTTTTTTGGTTCTTGTTTTTTTGACTACAAGGACAAAAGGGTTCTTGAAAAAAAAGACTAAAAAGAAGAGAAAAGCATGCAAAACTTAAAACTAGAACAAGATTCTGAAAATAGAGCTAAGAGCTTGTAATTAAAGAAGAAGAAGAAGAGAGTAAGTGTTAAGTAAAATGAAGAGAAGAAAAAGAAGAAGAGAGGAAAGAAGAGCATGTGGTGTAATATAAGGGGAGCAAAGAGCGGTTTCAGCTGCCATTCGGCGTAAAATCAGAGGGACACATTTGAAGAAACTACGGGGAAAAAAAGAGTAAAAGTTAAGGGGGTGGAAAGTAATTTTAATAAAATAATAGGGGGATATTATGAATTAAGGAGAAATAGGAGGAGGGTTGGGGGAGGGGGGGGGGGTGTGAACAGTGACTTTTTGGCACTGCGCAGAAGAAAATATGTCTGAAACAAAGCCGCGAAGAATCCGGGCTGGCGGACAATTTCTTTTGTTAAGAGACGAATTATTTGAATATTATTTAAATATGTTGAAATTCAGTTGATCTTTCAGTAGAATATGTTGGAATTAAGCTGATATTTCACTATAATATGTTGTAAGAGTTGTAAGTTTTATATATTCCGTATTTATTTTCGTGTGATCGGTAGATTACGAGTTTGAGTCGTAAAATCAATCATAAATATTTGCATTAGGATATACGGTCTACTTTACAACACTTGAGCTACGGCCCTTCCCCGAAAATTACGTGAATACGAAATACTTCGTGCACCGCACTATTTTTTTTTACACTGTTAATATAAATAATTTTTAGCATTATTTTTTCCTAAAATTTAAAATTTGTGATCATAATTAAATTATATGCTATAACGGATAAAGTGACCTGATAGCATAAAAATTTCGTACATGACACTGTAATTATTGATTAAAGCATATGCTATAGCAGATAAAGTGACCTGATGGTATAAAAATTTCATACGCAATTATTAGACTGAGTTGAAATCCTCTGATGATCTACTATAATCTAGTGCAAGATTTTGTGCTTAATATTGATTTGTTTGTAACGTATTACCCAATTGACTAACGCTATTTTTTTTTTTTAAAGAAAGTCATAAACTATTTTTTAGAAAAACAGAAAAAGGAAAATCAGCTACAATGTAGGAGTTTTAAATTTAAGTGAATAATAATGAAATACTATGAGTTTTATTAACTAATTAAAAATCTAATACAAATTAAATAAATTACATAATAGAAAAAGTACTTTCAAGAATATAAAATTTAAAGCCTCAAATTTGTCACTAATCAAGGTCTCCTTGTAAAAAAACGTGATCGTATGTTTCTGAAACGTAAATCATGTTTAAAGTTAAGACATCCAAGCTGAGTAATAGCTGTCTTGATTTAACTTTTGGCCAAATATGAGCTAACTACCATTAACTTATATGTTTGGATTAGTGTAAACACTTACAAATTAAATAACTTTCATTCAAATTACATATTTTGTGCTATAAAGACTTTACGTAAAATAATTCAAAAACTCGAAAAACCCGAATTTGAAAAACCACTTTGTTGGTTTAATTTGGTTTATTGATTTAAAAAGCCGATACTATTAATTTTGTTTGGTAATTAAGCTAGCGTTTGGTCATAGATTCCCAAATTTGTTTTGAAAAATCTGATTCGGGTGAAGTTTGGTTTGAAGATGAAAATGTGTTTGGACATAGTTTTCAAAACATATTTTCCAAATTTTTGGAAAAACATGTATATTATTAGTTTTTGTAAATATTTTGGCAACCAGCTATTGGGATTTGGGATTTCGCCAAAAATTTCAAGTAACATGTAAATTTGAGTTGACTTGATTTTGAACCTAACCAGTGAGTAGAAGTGTATGAGTTAATGTCATTCTGAACGTTATTTATTTTTATTACAGTGTCATCTTTCTCTTCACACTTGTCCAACATGCCGATTATTGTTGCCAGCAAAACTCATTAATGTTACTATGGTCAAACTTTATATGGAGCAACACTTGGTTATAAAGGAACATATCTTTCTCATATCGTTATGTTCAGATCATATTACGCCTATTTCAACTAATTTTAAAGGGTTTATGTTACTTTTTACCAGCACAATACTGGATATTTCTATTCACTAGGGTTTAAATAGACAAGGACGACCTAGGATTTGAAAGTTGTAGAGGTATCACAGTCGAATAAAAATTTGAGCAAATGCGAGAGTCAGAATCGAACTCAGGCAGTGCACAAAATATCAAGTTGTATTCCCCTAAATCGACTAATGTAGTTGCCTAAGATTTGAATTATATTATAGTGTGCCAATAAATACATATACTTGTTATTAAACTATATACACATACATTCATATATTTTTTTCAAAGTTGCTGGGGGTTGATGACCGTCCTACTCAAAGGGTAGATGTGCCTATACAGAGATAAAAAAAAATTATTTAATATTTTTGTCTTTGCTAAAATTTAAACATGCAAGTAAAATCATATTTCGAAGAAGAATACATGAAAGGCTGGTTTTGGTAATTTAGAATACGATAAGATCTAGTCCAATAATGTAGTTCATTCTAGTTTGTATTTGGTCTTCATTTAGTAAAATTGAAAATAGTAGTAACTAGAATCTTAATCAATTACGGTGTTGCAAATGGCTTGTCTAGTGCGGTTTATATCCCTATGTAGTTTGCATGCTATTAGACAGCGAGAAGTTTACCTAGTGCGCAGTGAGTGCTCAACCGCAGGGCGGATGTTATGAGAGAGGCTATAGCGTCTGCTAGTTTTACTGGAATTCCAAAAAAAAAGAATTATAAATGGAGATCAGTTTTTCTTCCAAATGCAAATGCCAAAGTCTTGTACTTCAACAACTCTTGAACTATATCACAAACTCCTATCCTATAAAAGAAAAATAACGTCTCATAATACAAATTGCTGCATCACAAAAAGGGAGAGAAAATATTTATTCGCACTAAATGTTTATAGTAAGAAAAATAATTTATTTTGAGAGTTATTAATTAAAAGTGGGACTATAGAAATCGTATATTCATTTGTTTAGTGCGAATCGTAAACACTTCCATGTAAAAAAATTTACCAGAGGAAATTGGCTATCTTCAGGGACGGAGCTAGCATTATAGTTATAGTTTTGGTCGAATACAATAGCTTTAATTAGTTCAAATTTGTATTTGCCTTAAGAAATACATTGAATATGTATAAAGTATTAATTTAGAACTCAGTAACTTCAAAAAAAAAAAATTAAATCCATAAACTTTGAATTCTCGATTCGATTCTAACTATCTCCTTGAATTGATAATTACTTTGGTCCTTCTCTAAGAGTACATAATTGGACCATCATTCCTTTTTTCCCTTTGATTTGCAATATAATCATAAGAGAGAATAAATTGGTCATATAAATGATTGTATTGTAGGGTCTGATATATCAGAAATGTCACAATAAAAGGGAACAAAAACTCAACAAAACCAAATCTGTAGTGGCCAACACTTAGGGAGAAAAATATATAGAGAGAATTTCTTTGATTGTGAAAGTTTAAGCAACAAGTTCGTATTTAATTATATTTTGAGAATACTTGTTATTTGGCTTTCTCAAACATTTTATATTTTAATCCAAGAATAAGAATCCCACCTCATGTTGTTCTAATTAGTACCAACCTCTTTTTGGAGAATAAACAATTGGAGGACACTACAAATGAGTCCAAAAATTGGTGCTTTTAAATTTTAATTACCTGCTGCCGTTAGTTCATAAATAGACCTAAATGTATTTGCTTATTTTGTTAACCTTATATCAAAAATTCCAAATATTGAATTTTGAAAGAACTGCAAATTCGACACATCAAAGGCATAAAAACACATCAAACAAAGTTTGCATGTTGCTACACTTTTTTTAATTACTGTTTGTATGGATCGAAATCTGACCATGTGTGGATTGACGCTAAAAGGAATGGCAAGGGGCCGACTAAGATATGGTCGTGTCCACAAGGCACCATAACGACGAGTACTCGGCCGTTGCCGAGATCGAACTATCAGAAAGCTTGTACGGCGAAGTATATGTCGTGACACTTAAGGGGAACGACCTAAAAGTACAATCAACAGATTAGGGTATCCTGGCTAAGGACCGTTGGACAAAAGGGAATACTTACTATATATATAGGAAGGAAGAGAACAAGAAAATGGGGCTTCCTCTCCTTCACGAAGAAGGGGCGAAAGAACCGGAGAAGGAGGCTGAAGAAAAGCAAGTGAAGGTTTAGATCTTGGATGCAAATCTTTGTAATCGTGATTATTGAATCAATAAAGATAGATCCCGTAGCTGTCAATGGCATTCCCTCTTTTGCGTCTTTATTATTACATTACGGGACAGTACGTAAAGAATGTAAACCTATCATTTACATTTGATATCTTCTATGATCTCAAAAAGTTTATAAGTTTGATTATATCCTATTCTCTTATTCAATGTGTTTCGATCTAGAGTTAATTATCCTTGGCTAAGATTTATCCTCTATTTTCTTCATTAATTATTTTAGCAAAAAGCTTAATACTTTTTGGTCAAACACTGTTCAGTGGTGAATCTAGACTGGAGATAAGTGACTCGATAACATTTACATTTAACTCGAACTATATATATTGTTTATATAGAAAATATTGGTTAATATATGAAGAGATGACCAACTGAGGTGGGCAACTAGTTGGGTTAATTCTTCAAGAAAATTAGTCTGATTAATAAAGTATTCGCAGGGTCCGAGAAAGAGTCGCTTCCCAAGGGGTGTGATCAGTGGCGGAGCGACTTGCACCCAAGGGATGTCAACTGACACCCCTTCGTCGAAAAAACTTACATTGTTTAGTTCGGTAATTTTAATGATATCCCTTGACTTCTTGGTGAGTTTGTTACTTTATATTTTTACTCCCCTTAATAAAAATTCTGGCTTCGCTACTTGGTGTGATGTAGACAGCCTACATTAGTGATTGCTTTCACAGCTCGAACCCGTGATCTATAGATCACGCGGAGACAACTTTACCGTTACCCCGTCCTTTAGTCAAAACTATTCCTAATATTGCATTACCTCTATTACTAGTCCAAATTGAGTGTCAAGCTGAAAAATGCTATGGGTGCATAGACCAATGGCCGAGAAAACAGCAAGGAAACAGTAGCCTGATCATCTGGGAAATTTTTCTCTCCTCAAATTTGTCTTACTTTTGTTTTGTAATTGAAAAAAATAATCAGAAATTTGGTCTTCT